GAAAATATAAATTTACACGAACAATATCGTAAGTGACATTACTGACCAGAGCTTGACCTACACTAATATAGTAAAATGCATCCAGCTAAATTATAACGAAGCCCTTGGGACTACTTTAATTTTGTTGAAATAACCAGATAGCTGAAAAAATTAGCTTCCATATGCGATATAAAAAGTCTCTGATACTTGTTGTTTAATAGAGTTATTAAGGAAAAATGTTTTTTTATTTTGCCTGAACATTTACACTTTTACGATTACCGGATTATTCGCGGGGGGCGTCGATGTGTTTTCACACAAGTATATGTAAAATATCGTAAAAGATACTCGTAAATATTTATAGGCAACAGTGGCGTTCACTTCTCATCCTTGAATATAAGATAATTAAATACCGGTAGAACTTTATCATATTGGCATTTAACCAAATCTTTGCGGGGCAAAACAAAATGTCATATATTATGTAGATCATAGATTGAAGTCCGTCCTAAGTCAATAATAGTCTGTTTTTTCTTTTTTAGTAGAAGATAAGACTGATCTATTTAAAATGTTGTTGTTGTTATATTTTTTATGTTGTGTGTTGTTCTTTTAGTCGTTATTTAAATTTACGATTATATTCCACAAAGAGACAGTTGAGTAACAAGCCAAGAAAAAATAGTTGAAAAAATTGAAAAATATTTGGTAAAAGTTTGTGCTGTTTTTTCATTGATTTAAATAACATGTATGCGTAGGAGTCCGCATCAACAACCATGTATACCTCCCAAATTGGCTTTTTTGTGTCGATAACATTTTGAGTGTCAAAAACAAGTTCGTTAATCGTATGCAAGGTGATATAATGCAGAATATAAAATTTATTGCAGATCGGTGGAACTGTATTGGCCTTGTCTTTATAATGATATGTGTTATTATCTATATATTACCTATGCGGATGTAAGCTAGCTTATATGGCAGTAGATAATTTTTTAGAATCAATTTCGAATGTTTATGTTACCCAGCGCCTGTTTATGACGCGTATGTGCAAAACATTTCATAAATAACTACAGATGGATTATTAGTTCAATTGCTGCAATTCGTTTCGTAAATAACTCAATGAAATTCTGGAGATACCTACTTTTTTTAATAAGGTCCTAGAGTGATTGGCCCAATTCAAGGACTCCTGTACACAACATTTTGTGGCACTTATAGTAATCAGAATATCATCAATATAAAGTAATCGTGTGACGTAGGTGTCCAGTTCAAATTCCATTGCGGAACAAAATGTACCTAATTGGTATGTAATTGGTGTGTAAGATGTTTTGTTCTATCACAATGAGTTAAATGGTTACGTCGGAACTCCGAACGCAGACTAATGGGTGAACATTCTCAAAACAATGAGACCCCCCGGAGAGCACGCTAAGCCGTCAGTCCCGGTTGCCATACGAACATCTGTGGCAATCGTTGGAGCCCTGAAAAGTTTGACAACAATCTTTGTACAGAACTTCGATATCGCCTGGTAGCTACTTGGGTTGTGGACTCGTGGAGGTTATGCAGTCGCCGCACATAAGAAATCGAAGTTTCAGCGGTATTTTATATAGTAGACTTGAAACCGACCCCAACCTTTTTTTTTACGGGGGATATGCTCATGGACTACCTCCGCTTGGGGATAGGCGGAGGGGCGTGCCGGACTCTTACCGGCTAAAACCACCCCGGTGTCCCCTCACACGTGCGCGCGGGGCCGCGGGAATCCAAATTCTTCCGCAGCCCCACACTAGTGCTGGCCCGGTCTGTCCGGGCCTCGTCTCCTGCACGGGGTAGTGAGGTGTTCAACTACCCCGTGCATCGCCTCAGAGGCGCGCGCCGACACCCACGCGCGCCTCCGCCTCGGGTCCATCGAATAGGGGGCGATGACTTCCCCAACTCCCTCGCCCCTGGACCCATTCAAGGGGGACGGAAAAGGGCGTTGTCCGCTCTTCTCCTTCTTTCTTCCTTCTTCTTTCTTCTTCTTCTTCTCCCGTTCCGCAGTTTCCTTCTGCGACATCACGTCCTCGCAGAAAGACACCACCGCGTCCCACGACTCTGCGCTACCGACCATCCTCCGAACTACGGCCGACAGCGACAGATCGCCTCCTACTTCATTTTTGAGGACCCAGCGCTGCTCCTCCCAAGCTACACACTCGGCGAGCGTGTGTTGCGCCGTGTCCTCCCGCAATGGATGCAGTGGTGGCACCGAGCGTCCGGCTCCCTGTCTATGCAGCACACGTACTTGCCGAAGCAGCCGCGCCGCGACAGCACCTGCGTCACCCGAAACGACAGGGAGCCGTGCCTTCTCCCGAGCCAATCCTCGAGTACTGGCCGGATCGCCTCGACGGTAGCAAGGCCGGTGGTAGTGCGCAGAAGCCTTTACCGCCATTCCGCCACCAAGACCTGACGGAGCTCCGGTCTCGGGCCATGTGCCCACTCTTCCTCGCGCCATTGATATAATGACGCGAGTAAATTCGCCTCCAGGTCCCAGGGCGGGGATCCGGCCAGAACGCAAGCCGCCTCGTAGGAAATCCATCGCGGTTTGCGCAGAATGGCGAGAGTGCTGGCCGTCATGTCCACACAGGGGCCCCATACAGGGCCATGGACCGCACGATTCCCACATACAACCGCCTACAGGCCCCCCCAAGTTGGGAAGCAACGTTGAAAGCACGCCCGCTGCACCCATCAGCTTGGGCGCCAGCCGCCGGAAGTGGGCCCGAATTCCCATCGACTGTCGAGCACCAATCCCAGATACTTCATGGTGGACTCGACAGCTATCCGGGCCCCGCTGACCACGATGTGTGATCCCAGCGTCGGCGCACGTCGAGGGCCATGAAACACCATGGCCTCCGACTTGTTTAGGGCCACCGCAGCCGTGGCTATCAACGTCGCCTCCCTGTGCGAGTACGGTACACTTTGTAACGTAAATATCAATATTGTCACATTTAAAGGTGTGTACATAAATAATTTCGTCTGACAACATGTTGGTACGATTGTATCGGGCGTTCAACTATGTGTTTACATTACAATTTATTGAGTATATCCGCAGCTACTGACCGCAACTGATTACTTTAACAAGCATTACGACTAATCCAGGCGTTTTTTGGAACACAATCTATGTGTGTGTAATGATGATGATAATATTAATCCTTTTAGGCTAAGTTGTAGGTTGGATTAGAAAATAAATTAATTGTGAATGTTTTAATTAAATAGGCCTCTATCTACTTAATTGTGGATAAAATAAGTGATGTAACTTTTTCTCAAGTAATTAATGGTTGGTTAGGTATAGGTTTTAGTAACTGCACGGATGGCGTAGCGGTTTAAGCGGTCACTTCGTCGCTTCCTACTGCGCTGAGTATTGTGGGTTCGATCCCCACATGGAAAAACATTTTGTGATCCACAAATTGTTGTTCTGAGTCTGGGTGTTCTTTGTTTCCGTTCATGCATGTTTCTAAAGTCCCCGCGACACAGGATATATTTCTAGTGTGGGAGATGTCTTTAAAAAAAATGTAGGTACCTACAATAAAATATTCTGCAACTAGTGGCGTGAATACGTTAATATCAATTCCCTAAAAAGAGGTACATTTTTCACATACACTACTTATTAAGATTCAAAAATGTCGAATGGAAGAAGTTGTGTGGCAATCTTCTAATTCCTCAAAATACAGTTGTATTAAATAAGCATGTCTAGGAATTGTCGTAAAATTCAATGATATTGCTGGTAAAATATACGAAGAGTATAGGTCAGTGCTTATTATTATACATCTTCTAAATATGTAATAGATTTGACTGAATATATGATTGAATAGATTTGACTTGAATTTGATTGCTTTGATTTGAACTTAATTGATTTAGGTTTTACATTCTGGATTTATTTTTGGTCATTGTACCTAATTTATTTTAATGTGTTGTGTTCAACTATTTACCTCCTCGCCTAACTTTATAAATCATTCTGAAAGATGACAAAAATTAAAAAAGTAAATAGTTCTGTTGCATTTTTAGTCGAAAACAGATAACAGATACCAAAAACGCCTAGAGCACGTAAAGTGTGCCAATGATTATTGAGCAGTCGTGAGCAACGTGGCAGTCTAGACTGTATTGCATACCGACTAAGGGACTGACGGCCGGACTTTGGACCCCTTGTATAAACTTAGTTATTATTGCATTGGTCGCATTGTTATTGGGTTGTCCGGTAGTACAAAGAGGTTGCCGGTAAATGGCAATACTTGTCTCTATTATGCTAGGTCAAAAATATAATTAGCCGAATGTGTAACAGGCAGAATAAGGTGATATAGTGCTTCTTGAAGACGCTAATTTTTATTTATAATAAATTAAATACACACGCACTCACGCACGCATCTAGGTATTGCATGCACATATTGCATTATTTTTATAGTGTTGCTACATAATAAAATCTAGGAATTGCTATAGCGTGTGAAATAAATTTTTGAATTTAATGCTTACTTAAATAAGCATTAAATTCGAAAAATTATTTCACACGCTTAGTTACAAGCCTGTACCTAATGGAGTTTTACACAATATTTGCACAGCACTATAACCGATAATCGACAAAACAGTAGGTATTTAATTTACCGGCCTTAAACTTGCCACCAAGTATCTTAGTTCACGGGATTGAAGTACCCATCCATATTTCTGAAGCATATTTTTAACTCGTTTTTAGGCATAGGTACCGTGCAAATAATCGTGCAATAACGCATGAAAAAAAGCTATTACTTTGACATTACAAACGGGCACTGCAATTTTATTTATTTCTATAGATGAAAGGACTGGCATATCTGTCCGCCATGTCAGTAAGGAAACATTTAGGGCTACCACGTTTCTTCTGCAGCAGTAAAGCCGATCGCTTTCGCCGCCTGGTTGCTGCAAAGTCATCTGTGTGAGCATCGGCGAACATGCCAGAGACACTGCACCACCGTGGCAGCCCTAACAGCATCTTGATTGCATTGTAATACTGGACCAATTATAACTTGATAAACTCTACTCACATTTTTAGCTATGACGGCTTCTATGTCGGAGGCGGACAGTGGAGCAGCACCACGGATGATGCTGTACAATGTTTCAAGGTGTTTAGGAGTCACTGCTGGACGCTTCCCGAGGAATATCGCTGTAACGTATAGTCATAATCGTCATGGTTATTCTACTACTACATTAAACATAAAAACTAGCTGACCCGTATAGGGGTAGGAGGGTAAAAAATACTTTACGACCATACTCATACCTACCAAATATCTAGAGTGTAAAATAGAGCATGATTATTGCCGACATTATTATTATTATTATACAGACATAATAGATACATTCATACATACGTTATTGGTTTTAAAGTAGGATTTAAAAAATTCTAATAATGTACTGATAATATTTTCAAGTTTACACCGATTGTGCATTTTTCTCTATTAATTTTATTCTGATATAGGTATTAACGATAATTAGCATGAAATCTATGAATTAAGTCGGTGATTTGAGACTGGTTTTCTTGACAGTTTGAAGGTCGTATCGATCCGGAAATAACGCAGACGATATTTTTTAATGCCTTCGTCCATATTCGTAACTGAACTTACCTAACCAGTTACAAGAAAAGAAGTTTTTTTAGTTGTTTTTTTTTTTTATATAATTTACGAAATATACAATGCGCTAACAAAGAAATAAAAACCTACTAGTGCGAAACAATACATTAAGTATTTTAATTTTATATATTTTTTAATTTTAATAAAAATATTAAGTAACTAATTTAGCAAGTGTACGTACATAAACATGACGTCATTAAAATCTAACTAACATATTAATGAAAAGTTTTGACATAATTGTTTACGCTTACGGGGTTTTTGCATAGAAACAGTAGTAGCAATTACAAAATTGTGAAATTACAGGTAGTACCTATTTACAATCTTCAGAATAACATTAATACGCATCTTCAGATGCAAGACACGTTATTGATTTAGAAAAATCATGTAATTTTAAATAAATCACAATATACTATACAATAAATATAACAAATGAATTTACGATCGAAACATCGTTAATTGTTTCAAAATAGTTATCATCATCATCATCACATCAACAGCCTTTAATAGTCCACTAAGTATTTTTTATTTTTTTATTTTTGATCTCTTTGTGGCAATTTGCAGATCTTTGACTTGTGCCGTTGACTAATGTCAAAAATAAATATTTCAGACAACTGACACACAACGCCATCTAATTTTAAACTAAGCTGGGCTTGTACTATGAAAGCTAGAGTTACTGATAGAATACTACTAATACTTTTTTTGTAAATACATACATATTATACATAGAAAACACCTAAACTCCGAAACAAGGCGTAATCCTAATGACGTTATTGAGTCTTTGATTCTGTAAAAGAAAGAATTGTAACACTTACCAGTCTTTTCTTTGATAGCGACAACTTCTGGATAGGCAATTTGCTGATTCAGTGCTACAACACCTTGGTGTGTCAGTACCATAGCATTGGGTAAGCCTGTAGTCCCACTAGAGTATGGTAAAATCTCTAAATCTTTTGGACTTCTATGAACAGATTTTAAACAACTCGTATCTATATTAAAATCTTCAGCGAGTTCGGCAAATTTTACAGCACCTGGTAGCATCTCATTGTCAGTCGTTATAACTGGAATGTCTAATTTTAGTTCACTTAAGGCTTTTCTTACATTCTGATATGATATTTTTGAAGTGACTAAGGCTTTGCAATTTATTAGTTGAATCTGGTGTTTGAGCTCCTCTAAAAACAATATATTTTACATCAAGGAGATTTCTTGCATGCTTCAGCTCAAATATGCTGGCTTGATTGGAGTGATACAATGGCCTCACAGAAAACCAGTGTTAAGCAAGTGGTATTTCATTGAGAGAGTGAGGTTAGCGATGGTCCCTTTCCCCTCACTACTGGACGGGTGACTTTAAAGCCGGCAACGCACTTCTTACTCCTGCAGGTGTCTATGGGCGCCGATAGTCACTTACCATCAAAGGGCGAAGTGCGAGTTTATTTAATTCCTACTTGACCGTCGGACCGCGTTCGGCGCTACGATTGGCCCGCAACGAAATTCCGTCGAGAGCGCGTCGGTATGAAATAAACTTGCACTCGGCCCTCAGGTGACTAATGAAATAGGTGACCTGACTTCTTACTTATAATATTACTTATTCTTGTTCTGCATCTGATGTAATATACATCAGATGCTGTTTACAGTACTGTCAACAACAGAAATAGTTTACCAATAGTTTAGTGTTTAACAATATTGAATTTTCTTTAGTTAGATTTTTTGTTGAATACGACGGTCCGTGTGGTGACGGATGAAGAATACAGAGTGTCACCACCCATATCCATCCCGCAGGTGTCGTAAGAGGCGACTAAGGGAGCAAACTACGCAGGACAACAGCACTGCAAAGAGAAGGAAAACTTGACACAAACCCTATACCAACCCGTCTGGCCAGCGTGGTATAATAGGCCAAAACCTCCATACTAAGGAGAGGCCTATGTCCAGCAGTGGACTATTAAAGGCTGTTGATGTGATGTGTGATGTGACGACTATTTAAGGTGATAGACCTAATCTTTTATTACTGTACCAGTATATTATATAATAATATTCATTAAACTCTTTTCTAATAAGTGTTATCGTGAACATGTATTTGTTATTTATTAGAGCGTAAACCAAATACACAAAAACTTTTATTTCATAATACTTTTTGAGTGTGTGTTTCGTTAACGTGGCGAACAACTAAAGGATAAAGAGTTTTATACTATTCAAGACACAGTTCGGCATGTACAATATTATTTATAGTAATTTTTATAGGTATACACTATATACCTACATCGGAAAATAACTTGTCCTATTAATTCACAGTTTATCTGAGCCGGTCACGCAAGCTTCAACTTTGTGTAGTTTCTATCTTGTAATGAATTATAGGAATTCAATTACTTTTTATAACCCTATTCAATAGATACTTTAGTTGTGCAACATAATTACCAGTTTTCAGTTAGCCATCAGCAATCAATTTTCTTTACATTTTTCATGTTCGGTAAATAGGTTCTTATTACCTCCAAATGGACTAATTAGCACTCTAGGGTAATAATGTAGCTAGAAAAGCCCTAGGGCGGTAAGTAATTAAAAAAAACACTTCTTTCTTTCAAAAAGTTCTCGTACATCTAACCATCATACTGGCAATAGACATCATGCATTCAGCCCAATGACCAAAGAGGTCGCTTTGCTATTCAGCCTTGTCTTCGTGTGAGCATAATAGTCATCAATTTTAAATATCGAACGACGAAGCTCAATTTCGATCTTGAAAACAATAATTAAATATATAAAAACGTCGTTTACATTTTTTTAGTATCACATTAAAAAAAACATACCTAATATGATTGTATATGTATGTATATCTCAAACCTAATGGCAAAAAAACAATATTTAACAGCCATTTAACAGTCTCGATCCTGTGATGGACCAGCTGATAGGCTGGTATTAGAATGACCGTCCAACAATAATCACAGCACGTGCATTGAAAAGTTCTTTTGTTCTTCGTGTCTGTTAGGAGGTTATATAAGAAGAGTCATATTAGGAATCTTGGACTCTTAAATATCTGTTAAATCGGGTTCAACCTATGTACTTACACTTTTGATATATTCTGGACAATTAGATAGAGCAGAACCTTAATATGTCTTATTTCCGATTGTATCGCCATGAGGTTACAAAATAAAAACACGAAACAAAAAAAATAAAATTAAATGCGTTCGTATGACCGCATAAGTCTTTTTTGGAATATGTCAGACTAATCCCTTCCACAAACCTACCACTGTAACTCCTGCACACCAGGATTAACAGCAGTGACCCAAGAACACACCGAGTTATAATACTCGGAAAGTCCAATGAAAAAATTTAAACTGTCTTGGAACCCGCAACGAAATTAATTAGAAGAAAATTGAAGTTGGAAATATAATAAATACACTGCTCTTAGGCAAAGCGTGAGATAAAAAGAAGTAACAATAGGCATACACCCTTTTACATAGGGAAGCAACACGGCCACAAAATATTATGGGTCCTAAGTGAGCTATATTTGACTTCTATCAAGATCTTGTGTCAACTAGGGTGAATTACCGTGCGTTTGATTGCGATCCTGCCATACTTACTTACTACTGGACAGTTGTGGTACCTACTCATCAATGATACTATATACAAACAAGATGTAGATACGCCACCAACGCGTAAAACGCCAATAAAACGCGTTAAGTATACTCTTGCAATTAAACAAATAAATGATTTGAAAACGCGTGGGTCCTAATTAGGACCACTATGAGCGAGCGCACGTACTAATTAATTCGAAAAAGTTCATAAAATGCCTTCCTGTGTATTCCAAAAATGCACAAATTTCGACAAAAAGGTAAACGAAGATTTTGGAAATCATACTACAGGTAAGTGTGTTTTGTTCTGAAATGTATTAATAGAATATACGGTTACGGAACAAATATTTTGTGCGTGCAGTATAAATATAACGCATCTTCCTTAAAATACGATTGCCTACGATAATCTTACTCACTCGGTGAAAAGCAGCGCTGTGAGGTCGTGGTTTCACTCCGGTGAAGACGTGCCATACGTGCCGAACGACAAACCCTTTTACACTTACCTGATGAATAGATAGGATTCATCATACTCGCTATACAACCAGCTTGTAGAATACCCAGTATAGTACAAGGATATTCTGGAACATTCGGTAGGATCACCGCCACTTTGTCATTAGTTTGTAACTTTATTTTATTTCTTAAAGCTGCCGCGAATGTTACAGACATTCTCTGTGTTTGTGCGTAAGTGTATCCATGGCCCGTAACTGCGCACACCTACAATAATACCAACAAAAGCATTGATTTTATTCTTGAATCTGTGAGTAGGTATCATTTAACATAACCCATGCGTTTATAGGATAATACATTATCAATAATAATTTAACTTATTTATAACTAGCTTTTGCAAGCAGTTCTGCCCGCATGTATGTCGGTTATCGCGGTAAAAAGTCGCGCCTATGTCCTTTACCGGGAATCAAGCAATCAATCAAGCAATCATCTCTACACCAAATTTCATCTAAATCAGTTCAACGGTTTAAGCGTTAATAGGTAACAGACAGACACACTTTCGCATTTATGATATTATACTATGATTAGAAGAGTATGACTTCCTTCTTGAAACCGTGACGGTATAGAATGCGAAAAAGTGGGATACCCAAGTAAGGATAGAAGTAGAGTGCCTATTTCAGAGGCTTGAGTTCGCGTTTTCTATCGTTTTTTTCTACATTCACGCTTACTACTTAACTATAAAATCTATTTTTCAATTTAGACTTACAAGTTGGACATGTATAAATTTAAATAAATACACTAGTCACAGGCACTTGGTATCAGATCTTTGATGGTTAGCGGTTGGCGATGGTTTTTTTCAGAAGTGACTTCACACATCTACTGGGCTAATCTGATGACTTGTAAAAAAATTCATCTAAATTGTTACCGCCCTTTTGGATTCCATATAAAAATTTATTACTTACATAAACTTACTTAAAGGAAATTGACTAAATACATACTCAAAGGGTGGTTAAGGAAATAAAATTTTATTATCTACGAGTATTGTTATGTAGTGAAATTGTTACTCATCGGAGTCACATATTCACTACCTATGCCAGCCGTCATGTAGATTGTATGTTTTATTAGTAGTATTGGATCATATTAAACAGTACTATATACCTAGTTATCTTAAATTAATAAGTATATGAAATATCTTACCGTAGCAGTTTTATCAGGCCATCTATCTAAATTCTCCCATACAAAATCATTGACTGTATAATTAGTCACAGGAAGGTCCTTATACACAGACTTTAGAATTTTATTTTCATGCTTTCTGTTACTATTTTGTCTGAATGCAATGGATATGAATCCTCTTCTCTGTTTGTTGTAAATATTTAGCATATTCCTCTTCAATGAGTTGGCCATTATACAAAATTTTGTATGTCACTGCAAATGTTAAAACACTTATATACGATATTGATTAGGCTTAACTTAAAATATTGAATACATACATGGTCTCATTCAATTACAGAAAATCAGTAATTTATGAAATTCTGATGAGGAAGATGTCAAATAATTAATAAGAACCGAGTCTCGTCTATTGGTTAGAACTATTCTAGTTGTGTAGTGACTACCCACCTACTACTCCTTGACTCGCAAAAGCAACATTCCAAACATAAATAACCAGACTAACTTGTTTCAAGATTTTTGAGATTTTAACTATAATATTAGATACTTGTATTTATTTGTTCTAAAACACGTCCAAAGTGTTCTATGAGGGTGTGTATTTACATTAACCATGGCATAAACTCAGTGTTACGACTTCTTAGTACATACCTTAGGTTTCGATAACACAACCTCCTGCTTCGACCCACAAAGCGTTACTGTGACGCTATTTACTAAAATGATCTGAAATGAAAAACCGGGCACATTTAATCACTTGACATTAACACAACTGCAAGACTTGTTTAATTAGATGATTACAAATTAGGTTTTTATTTAAGCCTTAACGTCCTTGGACTTTGAAAGAAATAAACGAAGTACGAACATAAACAAAACATATATATGCACAACACAACTCAAAAGTGATACTTACTTTTTTGACATTTCACACCCTCGGTGCAACAAAGTAGCAACAGGTAATTTTGTAATTTTACAGGAACGGAATTTTAAGTTTTTTTCGAACAATTTTCCTTATTTCTAGGTTACCTACAGCAGCCGGAATATCTCAATAAAATTATATTATTTGTTCTTACAATATATTATTTGTTCTTTTAGATACAGTTTCATGTATAAAATTAATTTTATGAGAAAATTGAAAAAAAGGCAAGCAAAACATAACAGTCGTTAATTGTGATAACAGTCGTTATATACGTTTATGATTTAAGACAAGTTTTTAAATAAAATAAAACTTATTACATATTTATTACGTATATTTTCTTCTAAAAAAAACAACAAACAATTGTCTTGTAAAAAAACTACACAATTATTCTTTTAAGAAATTGTAAAAAAACACAAAAACCTATTTCCTTTGCTCCTAGAATCAAAATGTTATTGTTTATGAAATTGAAATGTTAATGATATTGTGAAGTTATAACATTTCAGAATGCTTTTATAAAAAATGCTGATGATTGATTTACTGGACAAATCAATAAAGCCTGAAGATCGTAAGAAGCCACAATGACAATGCTGTCCTCTTGACCCTTTTTGTACTCATCTACGTCTTGTTTTCTTTTTCTATTTTGCAAAGACTCTTTTCTTCTTGATGTAGTTGGTAGCTAGACCTTAACTGTTCTTTACCTAATGCATTCTTATATGCTTCGCATATATCATATGGGTCTTTCTGAGGAACAAAGAAACTAATGTTAAATTGGCTATTGAAAATCCTATGATAAGCGTCGTAATTTGCAGCTTCCTTGTTATTAGATATGCGAATTTGTTTCTAATTATGTAGCTCGGCTACAGTTAAACCTTCGTCTTTATATTCTCTAGATGACTTGGCTCTAATATAATGGCTTTTAATCCGGGGATTAATGATTGTTATGATAATTATGTGGTCACGTAGGTACAAATTGTTTAATTTTGGTATCTAGCTTTGCTTTTCTAGTTTTCCGTGTCTGCCACGTTTATCCGTTAGAACTTCACTTACGCTGCCAAAACTTACCAGCAATTATAGTGCATAATTGTTTAGTACTTACAACAAGAATGCTTTACAAATCCTTATCTTTTGACTTTGATATACAAGAACATACCACGTGTTCGATTTTCTATATTCTATATTTTCTATTCAATTCTCTACCTCTTGGAATTTTGATGGTATGAAATTCAGGTTCATTTTACTTTACACAAGATGCGAAGAAGTCATACTGCCTTTGAAAAGAACCAAATTTTAATTGAAAAGAAAAACTGCAATATGCATTCCTATCGTCAATTTAAAATTTGGTCGAACACGATAATCAGCAGGTCTTTTCACAAGGTGGATAAATTTTTTTTTAGCTATGCCTTTTCCTTCACCTGATATATAAGGTTGACCAGTTTTCTTTAAACGCTGTTTCTGTTTTTTTTTCATAGATTTGGTTATCTGGGCCCCTTCTTAGGGTTCCGTACCTCAAAAGGTAAAAAAGGAACCCTTATAAGATCACTTTCTTGTCCGTCTGTCCGTGTGTCACCACTGATTTTCTAAAGAACGGGTAAACCTAGAAAGTTGGAATTTATACCAGATACTGAGGTCTATGGTCCCTATTAGGTGTATAAAAAGAAGTGTATAAAAAGAAACGTCTTATAGCACAAATAAAGGAATAATTCCAAAAAATAAAGTTAAGTTGAACATTAAGATAAATTTTGGTACTTACAAATGTTCGCGAAAATCTACGTAAAATTTGGGTAGGTACGGAACCCTCGGCGCACGAGTTCGACTCGTACCTAACCGGTTTTTTTTTTACTTCTGTTCCTGGCTTGCTGGTATAGTTTCTAGGACTGATAATTTTCGAATTTAGTTCGAAAACCCCCACATATAAATATGTCAAAATGTATTTAACCATATAAATAAATTAAAATGCCTCAGTTACTCCTTGATAACTAACACCCCAGCAAACCATCATACTCTGCTGACTTACTGAGAAGCTTTTAAAGAGCTTTGAGCAAAAACTCGGTCATTCTGCTAGTCAATGTTACTCAATCATTTATTGCGTTCCATCGTGTACATAAATAATCTTAAAAATCTGTATTTAAATCTTGGATCTGTATCCATTATGGCTCAATAGTAAAAAAAAACTCGTTAGGAAAATAAAAAAAAATCCGTGACCTTCCTTTCCGTACCGCTTATTTTGATTTTACCACCCTATCCATTTTTAAATAATCAGTTAAATAATGTCTAGAGTCTAGTGTATCTCTTATAAGCGTGTGCGTTGCCCCAGCGGAAACAAATCCAATTTCATTATTTGAGTTTAACAGATGTTTAGTGTATGACGTCGTTTAATTGTGTATGGTAAGTAAAAATTGGGGAAAAATCAACCATTGGGGAGGTATTCACGAATAACTGTTTTAAGTATGCAAGCATATTTGGTTAGAATAGTAATTTGAAATTGAACACAATGTGTGTTAATATTGGACTAGTAGCTGTATTAATATTTGGCAATTCAGAAGAAAAAAAAATAACAAATAACAATTAATTTCAGGTGAGGCTTCTACATACACCTAAATGCCGTTACAACTATGTTAGTGACTAGTAATAACCATTTTTACATGATAACTAGAGTAGGCTTTCAATTGGTCAAAATTGAATTAAACTTGTACTATAGCCGTACGCATCGATCAAGCCCCGCCTCTGACCAATCAGATTCCAGGACCAAAGCTTGGATCCCGATTGGTCAGGGTGCGGGCTTGTTCGATGCGTCACTGTAATCTTAACGCGAGTGGACCATAGTATTGAACGGAACACAGTTATGGTACAGATCATTCAGTTTAGAACTTTGAGTTATAAACATTTTAATTGATCACCAATTTGGGTTTGGATGACATGTAAAAATCAATTATCTTCACATAAATTGCAAACATAAACATTTCCAAATAATTTATGCATATAGTCTTTAGTCAAACTAATAGTTTTTTTTTGTATGTACCTAATATTTAAAAGAGACACATACCTGCTTTCACACATTCCTATTATAAATAGATACAGATCGTCTATACGTATAATAATAGCGACAATAATAGATTAACTGATTGTTCAAAACGTATTATTGACTAAATTTAATTGTTAAATTTATTTTAACAATTAAATTTAAAAAGAAAAATTACCGTCTTTAATGTTTCTACAGCGTTATGACTTGTAATAAGCTGTATCCTTGATTTCTTAATTTAAATTCAGATTTGAATGGAACCAAACGGGAAACCTTTTTTGAAGTCGGTTAAAAAAACATACGCAATTATATTTGCATATGACTGTACTTATTAGAATGACGAAGCGTGGAAAATAAATGTTAGTAATATTGTGGTTTTTTGATACTTTCAAATACACTTATCCAGTCTTTTACCTTATAAACAATACATTTCTAGTATTATAATTTATATTACATTGATTCCATATCATTGACATTTCCTTGTTTGTATGTAATTGAAATATTCGTTTTATCACGACGTGTCGAATGTGGCAAATTAATTTGTCATGATCTTCGATGATTCAAAATAAAGTATTAATTTCCCTTGATCATCTAAAGAACCCACTGATAACACTACCGTTAGACCAACTCAAAAATACAAAGCTTAAAGACTACTACTATTATACTGACTTCATATCAAAAAGAACTGAATTGAGAAAGATACCTAACATATATTTGTTTCACAAAGTTAGATGATACTTTTGAAAAAAAATAGGTACATTTAAATTTCAAAGTTTAGCATTGGCACTACAGTACTAAGTGTTACTTTATAAATTGGCCAACATCCAAAGATGGTTTCCATATGGATACTACATGGATGGGTTGGTTGTTTGAAATATATAATTAGGTGAAGTAGTCAGTCAGTCACTATTACATCTGAAATACATGTCTATATGACAATGAGTATCATACAACAATATTAATAGAAGATTGATTAAATAAAACGAACTAACAGTTGTTTGATTTAATGCAAATGCAAGTAAGATCTGTACTAATATTATAAAGCTGAAGAGTTTGTTTGGTTGAACGCCCTCAAGAACTACTGGTTCGAATTGAAAAATTATTTTAGGCTTGGATAGCCGGTTTTAGGCTATATACTATCACGCTACGACCAATAGGATCAAAGCATCAATGCATAAACGGAGAAAATCTATTCTTTTTGAGTTAATCAGACATCAGGAGTATCAAGAAAATATCAATAATTTTAAATAATTTATCTACATCAAACTGTTAGCATTGACAATACACTTAACACATTTAATTAATTGTTCAATAGAAATGTTTTAAACGTTACATAACATGTTTATAATGAAACATAACAACAATAATCTTTGCAAAGCTATTAGCCCACTTCGTCCTTGCGTTACAAAGATGTTATTCTCAGTGTTCGTAGCACGTGAACACAAGGCGAGTTATGCATTTGTAGGTAGTAACTTGATCCTCGGTTTTATTCATTCTTATTTGAAAGCTCCGCTGAAACAGAAAATATAGTTTCGTTCTTAGTTTTACTTAAAAAATTACAAACCGACGGTTTAGTTATATAATTGTCATATACCTTGTGTCATTCTCACAATAGGGTAGATTCCAAGGTTTAAAATAAACCTTAGAGTCTGAATTGTTCTCCATTATCAAATTAATATTTTTATTGATTTGATATCTTGCTAACAACATTAAATATAAATAATTTGACAATAGCTAAGTATGACGTCACGACATAGTATTTCATACAAAACTGTAACCGCGTCTAAATGTAATCGAATCTAACGACACTCGAAAACAAAACTCTCCTGGCGCAGTCGATCGTCTGAGTCGTCTGCGGTTCCTGGCAAGTTCCCGGGCACAATTCTACATTTTGCCTGGTCCCGCTCCGCCGTCTCCTTCGCAAGTATGACTTGCTTACAGAAGGAGAGGGCGGTTTTGCCTATACCATAAAAAAACAAAGATTGAGGCATACCGTAAATTACTGGAGATTCCCGATATCCTCTTCGAATAATCTCTTTCCACCTTTCAATATCTTTTCCGAATCATTGCCATATTTCTTTGAATATTCTTCTAACCTTATGAGCCACTGTGCCCAATGCTCTCGCAATTTATCAGTAGGAAGGTGATATGCGTCGGCTTTAGAGCCGTCAGTGTATGCGATGACTAACAATGCGTCTCTAACGTTTAAGTGTTTGAGGTTGAGGTCGTTGCAAACGGCGCCAAAGTACGCCGCTAACTGCACTGGATTGTCGTAGGTTAAGGCGATCGATTTGCGTGGTTTGTCGGATTTCTTCCATTCTATCAACGTTGGTTTTTCTCTGAAATATGTGAAGTTGTTGTTTACTTATAATGTCAGATATTATTACGAATGTAACAAGTCTTTTTTTTTGGTGACGTGGTGGGAAATCCTTGCTGAATTCCGGCTCCTTGCTATACAGGAGCCAGGAGTATGTGGTGTTTTCACTAAAAACTACCCCAACGGCCGGCCTTAAGCGCCCTACTCTAGGAAGGACCGAGGCCATGTGATTTCAGGTATTCCATATGGACGCCGAACCTAACTAGGCCCTATCCCAGAGGAAACTTAAATTTGGGCTGTTTGGGGTTTCGTACCCTCTGGGTTGGGGGGTCTATTGTCAAGCAATTTTTTTAGGCAATTTATAGATTACAGCACGAAACTCGAACTTTTACTTAATTTTTTAAACTCGATTTTTTATTTCATCATCATCAACAGCCTTTAATAGTCCACTGCTAGACATAAGCCTCTCCTTAGAAAGGAGGATTTTTTATTTAATTTTAATATTTAGGAAACAGTAACTTTTATTATTTTTGATGAGGGCTGCCCCTACATAAGCCAAGTCTACTTGATAATGCATCATGCGTTCATGGGAGGCGATGGTCACTTTCCCCGTCTGCTCGTCTGCCCCATCTAACATTAAAAAATAGTAAAGGCAGGTGACGATTACTAATCTGTGGTAATCGTTGCGGGTAGTTAGAGCCCTAAAAAGTCCGACAACTGTCTTTCTACAGAAACTTTGTTATCGATTAGTACTTGGGTTCACGTAAAAAATCGAAGTTCAGCCTATAGTAGTAGATTTAAAGCCGACACAACCTAGTTTGACAAGAACTGAATTAATAATTCAGTTGAAATAATGTGAAAGTCAAACACGTAATATGATGCTCAAAAAGTCAAAATCTAGGTATAAAGACTTTTTATACGTCTTTCTTGGCTGGTATTATAAATGATTTGGTTTTGTTCATTTTAAAAAAGATATACGTACTTTAACGTAACGTAGTTTAGCGATAAACAACCGAGAACACGTGCAAGACGATCAAGAAGCGAAGCAAGCTCTAATAAATACTACACAACGATTTACGGTTTTACAATATTATTGACTTTTTATTATCATTTAGCGGGTAAGCGCGCAGACGGGTACCCTGATGGTAAAGTGACAAAGGTCACTAATCTAGTTTATAAGTCCGGAAATACCGCAAGCGATAATTACTTCACCGGAGTCTGTGCGATTTAAAAGTTTTTGTTTTTTAATTCCGTCTTTTGTATATATACAACAAGGTTTAAATGGTCACTATCGGTGTACTACTACTATATAGTTTTGCAATTGTTGACCAGTTTAAGCTGCCGATAGACGACGATGAGTGGAATGGGTAAGCGGTGTAACGTTAGTTTCGAATCAGCAGAATTTTAATGAAAGATTGTATACAAGAGTGATTTAGTTTTTACTTGGCACTTAAATCTTTTAATGAGTAGACAGTTGTTACGTTTTGAAAGAAATAGTCCAATCACCTAGTGGCTATATACAAACAACAAGCCATAAGCGTCGCGTGTAAAACTTTTTGAAAGGTGTGACGCGGTCGTAGTACAAATATTTGTTAGCATGTACCTACATTGTACGTTTGATCGCATAGGTCTGGTCATCATCTGCCTACCTTTTTCCCAATTTTATTTGGGGTCGGCGCATTATGTATGATTTTTCCATTCTACTCTGTCATGAGTCATCTCATTGTTTACTCCCTTCCTAGCCATATCCTCCCTCACGCAGTCCATCCACCTTTTCTTCGGTCTGCCTCTTCTCTTATACCCTTCAACTCCCATACCTAAAACTTTCTTCGCCACATTTTCCTCATCCCTCCGCATGACATGTCCATACCAAGATAACCTATTAGGTACTTCTTAACTTTTCATGCATTCCTAACCTTGTCCATCTGAGTCACACCACACACCCATCTCAGCATTCGCATTTCGGCTACGTTCAGGCTACGTTCCGTACGTACGTTGTACGTTCTCCCATCCAGCGAAATGGTTTCAGGACTGGAGAGACCGCTGAAATCGCAGAACATGTACTCAGTTTTGGTTCTGCTGATTTTCAAGCCAACATTCTCCAGCCCTTGTTGCCATTTTTCCAGTCTGCTTTGGACCTCAACCCCATCTTCACCGACCAACACAATGTCATCTGCAAATAGCATGCACCAAGGCGCCTCCTCCTGTATGTCCGATGTCATCCATTATCATCCATTATCAACAGGAAGAGGTATGGGCTCAGAGCTGATCCCTGGTGGCTTGCAAGAGGTATGGGCTCAGAGCTGATCCCTGGTGCAAGCCTACAGAGACACTGAATTGATCAGTGTTTCCCGTGACCGACCTTACATCACTTATGTAAGGTCGGTCACGGTCGATTCGATAACCCTGTCTGTGTGCCACTTTTTGGCAAAGGCCTTTTTTTTTTAGTTATATATATTATATATCATACACTCTACGCTTGACTATTAAGCATCGACAACCCTGTCTGTGTGCCACTTTTGCCTGCCTGACCATTTCCACTTTAACCTTTTATTGTTGTTATAACATCTTTTGTTTTCTTATGTCTCTTTATGGTTTTCGTGTTTCGATTCTTATTTTGTCGGATAGTCTTTTCCCCATCATACTCCTTTCCATGGAGTTTTAGCAATTTTCTAACTTTTTAATGTGTGCTTTAGTGAGTGCCCAGGTTTGGCAACCATAAGTAAGTATAGGTAGTAAGCTGGTATCAAAGAGTTTCCGTTTGGTGGTCATGTTAGTATCTTTATTTTTCATTATTTACTTTAAAATTATCTGATCCAAAGTTGTTTTCAGGCATTTCCAATGCGTCTGTCAATTTCTTTTGAGGTTAGATCTACAGGAGAGATTATCTGGCCTAAATAGATGTATTCCTTGACATATTCAATGGGGTTATTATTGATCAGAATAGGTTCTTCCTTGCCATTGGTAATAGCTTTATTATTAAATTATGCAATTAACGGTCGATTTCACATTACATTTCGCTTATGTCATGGTTACCTCCTTCGAGATTTATAATAAGATTTAATAATATCTGTATTTCTATCTATATTTGTTTTTTTCAGACGTCTAGCCAGATCAAACGGTGCAGGCGCTACGAGAATGGACGCCACATCAGCATTTTCTGCTGCGGTGGCTGAACGGCTAAATTACAAGAAGATCTTCTTAGTGAGGTACTCCGACTTGGACTTCGCACCACAGCCTGAAGAGCCACACGTTGAGGCTAGGGTCTATATCAAAGAACTTTAAGGTATTTTTTTTTTGCCACACCCTCGTTTCTGCAGAGGCCCATGTCCTGCAGCTAACTGTTAAAGGCTGTTGATGTGTGTTCTCGCGGATTGTCTATTACTGGTATAAAATATAGCCCCTGTTACTTGTTGATTATCTTGTTTTCTCATAACATTAAGCTCTCTACTCCTCTCTACTCCCTGTCAAGTGATACCCTGATGCCTCAATATATCTGTACATATCTCGAAAACATAACATTATTGGTGTCAACAGTCAATAACATTTGATGCTCCGTTTTACGCATTTGTGCAAAACTCTGATGATTACTTCACACATGCATCATTATGTTTTTTAGACAATAATCAATTAAATTAAAAAAAACTTTTAAATTATTTGTTATTTACCAATTTAACTAATTGAATCACTGCTAATAACTAATAAATATTAAGAATAATATTTGCAACTTTTAATTTTTGATTGTTTTATAAGTGAACTGAAAAGCCACTTTTGCGCTCTGAATATTACCTAAATAATTTCTAAAAAAAGTTTATCTTGCCTTCTTGCTTCCTAAAAATTTATTTTTTATTTGTTCTAAGACTGTAAAAAAGAACAGATTTTGATATATATGACATACGATTTGGCCGATGTTCTTTTACCTTCCTTTCTTCGCGAAATTCTCTTTGTTCGTATTTAATATATTAGATAAATATAATAATATAAATAATAATATTATCGGACATCTGACACACAAAGCCGTGTAGGTTCAAACTAAGCGGAGCTTGTACTATGAAAGCTAGATTGACTGATTGACTCATATTTATTTATTTTAATTTGAAAAAAAAAAACAGTATTAAAAACTTATGAATAAGATCAAATAATATAGCCAATTGAAAATTACAGGTATTTTTTTTTTCTAAATAACTACATATTATTCATAGAAAACATCCAAACTCCGAAACAAATATGTGCAGATCATACAAACATTTGGTCCGACCCGGGAATCGAACCCGAGACCTCAACATAGCAGTCGCATACGCTACTTCTACACCACCGAGGCGGTCAAATATACAGACATATATTTTGTGCCAAAAATGAGATTATTAAATATATTATTGTTTATTTATATATATTTTTTAATTATATTCCAGAGATTCTGAAACGTTCCTAATGGAAATGGGAGTTCCAGACGAAGCACTAGAAGAGTATACTCCCATTTATGAGATTAGCGACAGTTTTCAGACTGCATACAGAATCATCAAAAGAATATTGTCAATCCTTTGTTAAGTACTAATTGATCAATATTCGCGACGCTTGTTATGAAATCTTAAAAACTTACTTAAATGTACAATAATAGTACAAATAAGTAATAAAATTGCACGTTGCTTGTTGGTAGATTGTGTATACTAACAAAAGTAGAACATACTTTGCAAGGTCTTTTATTTAGTAGTTAGTGTATCGCTTAGTTGGATCATCACTAGATGAAACGACACAGCTCGAAATTTCATTTGTTTATTTATATATGATAGGGCAGATAACATATGTACATAAATAAGTTATTAAACAAAACCATATGGAGGGTAGAGGCAAGGAGAACCATCTCTGTGCATGAAAAGAGTCCGTAAGCACGCGTCAATTAAGGGTGGTGCCGCGGTAGCCTAGAATAAATTTATTTTGGCTTTAATAATAATTAAACACTGTGTACTACACTGCGAAAATTGATAATGAGTTTTACAGATAATAAATAAGTGAGTAATGACACTCAGACAATAAAAGTATTTCCGTGTGGTGACGGATTAAAAATACGGAATGTCATCACCCCTATTCATATCTTGGGTGTCGTAAGAGCCGACTAAGGGGGCAAACTACGCAGGACAACAACACTGCAAAGAGAAGGAAAACTTGACACAAACCCTATACCAACCCGTCTGGCCAGCGTGGTATAGTAGGCCAAAACCTCCTTTCTAAGGAGAGGCTTATGTCCAACAGTGGACTATTAAAATCCACTTGATTATTGATTATTATTAAACTCCACTATTGAAATCGTGTCATTTCGAAATATGAGCACCTATGTATTTATGGGGACCTATTAAAAATAACACTGCTTTTGAGTCATCTAGTTTAGTTAGTATTTAACAAAAATATTTTATGGACAGTGCCATATGTCCAGTTTTCAATTAGTAGAGAAACACTAGAATACTATTACATAGTTTATAATAAGTACGAAGGTATCAAGAATCAAGTAAATCAAGTTTGCAAAAGAAAAAAGATTTAAAAAAATCTATGTATTATGTTAACAGAAATTTATATCACATCTTATTCATTTATTAGATATATGTTACGATGCTCGACATTTTCTACATACTTCAATGTCTACTAAGTGTCAATGGTTTTAAATCAACCGGTTCCGAGTCCGGAGTTACAAGAAACTTTTGGTGTATTTAAATAAACGTTTTCTGAGTTCTAGGTACAGTTACTTTAAAATTTGACTAAAATACTGGCCGTACTGGAGTATACCTACTGGTTTAAAAAATATAACGAAACGCATTGACAGACAGGCTTTACACATGTAAGACTGTGTTGTGCACGTGAATGCCATTTCACATCGTATGTATAAAGGTGTGGTGTCGTGGGACACCCGATAGGAACGAAGTTGTTTAAAGTTAAAACTGATTTGACACGATATTAATTACAACGCCATCTATGAAAGCGGCTATTACCTACATGTTAAAAACAATTAAAACAATTTATACATTGGTAAAATCTCCTTGCGAAATGATTTCCTATCTATTTGATAGATGGCGCTGAATGTCTGACAAGATGACACGAAAAAATATTGTTACTAATCATAGTTCATACTTTCATCAAATTCATGGCTTACGTTGTATGTTATAATAAGATTTACTTTAATTTAAAAAAAACTTTGACTGAAATCTGGGTAATAGTGTACATAGCATCAACTTCTTTTGATCATTAAAGTGTTTTGAAATATATTTACTTAGTTTTATTTCCTAAATTCAAAATTTCAAGAAAAAAATATAATGTTGACATTTGGGTAGGCCGTGGAAACACTCAAAACCACCAGAAAGATAAAAAAATATGAATTAACATTACAAGCCTACACTATACTCACATTTACATACTTACACAAAAAAAATACTATACAATTCAAATTCAAAGAAAAATAAAATACGAAAACAAAATACGAAATACACCAAAAAAAAAAAACCTGTGGTAAAAAATTAAATAAAGAGCAAAAAGCCAACATCACGTGGTATTCCCAGGCGGTCACCCATCCAAGTACTAACCACGCCCGATGTTGCTTAACTTCGGTGATCGGACGAGAACCGGTGTATTCAACATGGTATGGACGTTGGCGAACATTAAAGCAAATTTAATGTATGGTATCCACAGTTAGACGTCAATTTATATTAATAAAAAGTGTCGCGTCCCAAATTTTTGTATGAATTTTTTCCGTCTAGCCCCCTTTCACAACGCGCGATAAGGAACTTCGTTCCAAAAGTCATGTAGATAGGTAAGTACTGACAAAATCTTGTTTGATAATCAAGAATAATAAATCAAGCTATAAATTGCGTAATATGCTAGGATTTACATGCCTTACAAGTAGGGATAAGATAGTTACTTATCAGAATAATGTAAATAAAAACACTTAAACACACAAATAACAATCCCTAAGTAAGAAGGGACCAAAAACGAAACACTCGCAAACAACGTCTAATATGTTCTCGTTACTTTGAGGTCTAAAAAATGATTGAATTCTTTTATACTACACAATTTATTAATATGGCAATACTATCTAATCCAACTAACATTTAAAATTGACAAGTCTGAATTTAAATCGAAGAACGATAGGAACTGAAAAAGAGCTAATTTATTTTTAATCTATGGAGTTTAGTTAATTAAGTGACTGGTCTGAGACCATTTACAGATTATGTGTGTGATACATTTTAATGTCGTCGCTGGTTATAATGGTGGTAAACAAAGATTAAAAGTAAATAAACTTATAATCTGTATTGTACGAAATTGAATCACCTTCCTGTACTTTACTATTACTTAAATATTAATGAATATCAGTAATAAAATAAATAGGAGAAGCATTCAGTGTTAATATATTCAACAAAATATGAAACTAACTGTTATGTGAGCCTGATACAATTATTACAGTACAATTTTATACAACGAACGCCTGCGCTAACTGTGATTAAATTGATTACAGTTAGCAAATAAATGTTGCTATAGGTATTATTTCAGGCGCTCTGTACGAAATTTTCGACCACTGTAGTTGTACGGGCAATGCACCCGCACATTGTCGTGTCAGCATATTACGCCAACACGGACATTTTACTTATTAGCAATAAGTAGTACATATCAAGCTTCGTACTCAAACGGTTGACCTAACAAGAGTGTCATTAACCCGTATCATTTTAGATTTAGTTAGATTTAGCTAAATACAATAAATAGTTAAAACAAGTTAACTAATTATCCAGCGTTTTATTTCTTGGTGTAAATACCTTATATGTAGTATAAGACTACTGGTCTTATACGAGTATATACAGTATGTACAGGTATTGCAGACACAAGTACACAAGTAGGTACTACATCCCTTTTTTATTATCTGTTGCGAAGTCGTGTCGTGAATCACCATACTAAGGTCGCTTGTGACAATGCGTGATGTTCAACAATGTATGAGAAAAATCCTGCTTATTCCTGATAGCATTGGTATCGCCCGTCTAGGGACCACTACGACCCTACAAGACACTGATTAATCAGCACTACTGTAGTGAGTACCTAGTATTTTCTAACTATAACATTTTGTTTTCTGGTCCCCTAGTATCGTATCATTTTCGTAGATTAACTGCCGCTTCAGCTTTGCATTCTGAAAAAAAAAATGAACGTTTAAATACATGTTGAGGATCATATATTTTGTTCGAGATCTTTTGTTGTATCCTGTGTTAATTTGGGGTGAAATAACAACTAAAAATTCTTGTATGTATAATTTTGTTTGTATTATAGATTACTATAATTATAATTTTAAATATAGATAATTTAATTATAGATTACTATAATTAAATAAAGTTAATAAATTTGAGGCGATTTAAATAACTTGTACCGTACGAAAAACTTTCGATCTAGGGTTGACAATGAGTGAAAAATCTTGTGTCTTAAGTTTTGCAATGTTATGTTACTGTTTTCTTTTTCAATTATAACCTATAAAATGGCTGAACCAAGTTGATTAGTTTTATCACCATTAGAGATTGGAAATTACTATATCCACAAGTACCAGGGGCTATATTTTATACCAGTAATAGACAATCCGCGAGAACACACATCAACAGCCTTTAACAGTTAGCTGCAGGACATGGGCCTCTGCAGCAACTAGTGTTTGGCAAAAAAAAAACCTTAAAGTTCTTTGATATAGACCCTAGCCTCAACGTGTGGCTCTTCAGGCTGTGGTGCGAAGTCCAAGTCGGAGTACCTCACTGAGAAGATCTTCTTGTAATTTAGCCGTTCGGCCGCCGCAGCTGAAAATGCTGATGTGGCGTCCATTCTCATAGCGCCTGCACCGTTTGATCTGGCTAGACGTCTGAAAAAAAACAAATATAGATAGAAATACAGATATTATTAAATCTTATTATAAATCTCGAGAGAGGTAACCATGACATAAGCGGAGTCTCTAGTAAAATAAACGTACATATATGTCAAATCAAGTCAAGTTATAGCATAGTGGTGTCTTTTTCGTTCTATTCAAAAGGAACTTAACATTAACAATGCACAGAAGCCTTATCCCAACTATTTAAAATAACTCGTTCGTGCTTACAAGAGATTGCAGAAATCTTATCTTCAAATTATTTATTTATTTAGGAATGTTATAGTAGCCCAACGTACAAAGTCCACTATGACATAACTGCTTCGTCGTGGTTTTCTTCGCAGCTTTGTACTCGATGGTTGACGGGATGGGAAAATATGATTTTGCAATAATATGTTTTAACTATTTGAATCTAATCATTTTTGATCATTCTATTTGTTTATTTAAATCGACTAATAATATCTATACACAGTTAGACAGCATGGAACTACAACACAATATCAATGTTACACAGTATGAAACTACCGGCCTTTTGTTTTACTCAGCGAAAAATCAGACCTCCTTGTTAAACAAATGTTTTTAGAAATAATATTGACACTCCCTCACAAACGAAATGCCTGAGGTAGAATGAATTCCAGGCTTAAAAAATTGAATACAATAAACCGCAATCGAAAATAGCGAGAAAGAAAGCAGACGGAACATTTCTCGTTAACGAGATTTATGATTTAGTAGAAGAAATATTGCAAGCAAATAAGCAAAAATTAGAAGGCGACCAGATACGGAATCTTGATAAAATAAATTTTTGCCAAGATCCAGGTAGAAAATCAAATAACTTGCATTCAAGTTTCAAGTTCTCCAGTTCACGATAATACATCTTCGTTCTTCTTTGGAACAAGTGGCTACCAGATGAAGATTCGATTGATTCGGGATTAGTTGGATGGAAGCATTTTTTTCAAGAGCTATATTTCAAATGGATGTAATTACAATCACAGCCAATCTGTGGAACGGGTTACCGTCTGAAATATTTCGGACGGATACGACCTTCAAACCTTCAAGAAAAGAGCGTACTCCTTCCTAAAAGGCCTGCAACGTTTGTGACCTCTGAGCTGCAGACGTAAATGAGCGGCGATGGTCACTTTCCATCAGGCGACCCGTCTGTTCGTCTGCCCCCTGTACCATAAAAAAAAGTTTGGAATTTGACAAAAAGAGAATTTACGTAAAAGAGCAAGAAGGGGATCAAAAGAAATTTAAGAATTACATTTTTACTGTTAAATTAAAACACAGTGAAAAAATGTCCCTTGTTAATAAATAAGGGACATTATTAAATTATTTGATTCGCTAGTAGGTAATAACCTACTAGCGAATCACATAATTTGAGGACGTTCCCTCTTTATGATATTTAAGGAACGTGAAACAAAATACATCTGAAACCTCAAATATAGAATCAAACGAGAAGAATTATTAGAAATCAACAGATTCTAATGACTGACATTGGAATTAGATTTTGAAAGTCAATGTTACTGTTTTGGCTTGGTGTTACGAGAAAAATGTTTACGTTGTATCATCATCAACCTATCGCAGTCCACTGCTGGACATAGACCTTTACCATTACACTCCACTTCGATCGATTTTCTTTAGTTGTGTATTGGTATAATACTAGCACAAAATATAAAAAAAATCAATCGATTTTTGTATAGCATATTATATATTAGTATCTAGTTGATGTAGTTCATATGTCTGAGATTGTGAAAAAAATGAACTTTTGCAATTAAAATAAAATTTTAAGATTTTGTTCTGTCCCATGACATTGATTCTGTCTATTTTTTGTAAACATAATGGAAGTATTAGAGTTATTAAATTAATTTTAATCATTGTTTAATTAAAATCCTATTGTCGCTAGCATAATCGAGTGTTTTATTAATATTAGGTCTTTACCTACGAAATTGCCGTTTTGTATGCAATAAGTGAAAGTACTTATTTTTTAAAACTTTTTTATTTCTGTTATTCAGGCATGACACAACACACAATGGACAAGGACATGAGGCAACAAACTCTTCAAAGGCATTTTGTACTGCCTCTCGGGAATTGAATTTTTTACCCACTAAAAAGTTGTCTAAATTTTGGAAAAAGTAATAATCGGTAGGTGCAAGGTCTGGTGGTCATATCTGCAACCAGCTTTGGTCAATCGCTCGTCCCCACTGCTCCTTCACGACAACGCGCGACCCCATACTGCGTTGTATATACCTGTATTGTAATCCTTTCAAAACATCTGCTCCAAAATAAGCAAGCAACTTGGGACGCAGATTTTCTTATTGTTGACTACGCAAAAGAGAAAGCATCAATGTTAAAAAATGCTGTTACGAGCCTTGCCATGCCCTTAAAGTTTTGTCGTTTGAAGAAAAAAACACAACTAGAAGTTTATAGTACTTTTTATTGTTTTTCAAAGTATTCACCACGTAGCTTAATACACTTTTTCATTCGCTCAAACCAGTTATTATAACATTTATTCCACTCTAAAATGGGGGTGTTCAAAATGGCTGACTTGAAAGCGTCGACTGCTTCTTCACCGGACTGGAACCTTTGACCACGAAGACTTTTCTTAATTTTAGGAAATGTAAAGAAATCGTTAGGGCTTAGGTCAGGACTGTATGGAGGATGGTCAAGAATTTCTACTTTTTCCTGCTTCAAATACTCAATAGAGAGATATTAAAAGGCATGCCCTGTATTGTAAGACACGATGTGGACCTTCTCATTATTTTACCTCTTTTGCGAAATGATAAAAAAGATTTTTTAATTGAGTTAATCATTTTTTTTAATAAAATGAGAACGAAAACAATTCGCACACGAGGGATGAAATGCAAAAAAGACCATGTTCAAATGGCCATATCTCGGTCAAATTGCATTCAAAAAAATTCTTCCACCCACCATTTTAAAGGAAATTTAATCTACATTTTTTAACTGAAGCAATGTCCATACCTATCTTGGCCCAAAAAAAAGATACAGTTGAAAAAGTAAAAAAAAAAGAAAAAAATATCTAAATTTTCGCGTTTACTTCAAGTTTCTTTCAACTGATTGGGCATGTTTTTTTTAAATATTTAGTAAATGCTATTCCGATTGGAAATTTGATTTTCTAAAATAAGTTTCAAATGAGATATATCGAAATTCTGCTTTGTTTATGAGATATATTGAAAAAACCAAAAGGGGTGGTTTTTCACCCATTTCTTCAATTTCCACCCTCTAATTTAATAGCACTCCACTGATTTTTCTTCATTTATAACCCATTAATCGGTTCCTGCGAATTCGAAGGAAGTAAAAACCCGTGCACGTCTTAACTTCCTTTCTATATGACATAATCAATAGCCTGCTAGCAATATACTTTCAAAAACCTAGTAGTACCTACCTACTACTTTTTTTTTCAGGATGATTTAGAATGACTTTATTTTGGCTTATTAACTCTTATAACCATAACCTTTCATACTATTGTGTATTAATGTAATAAAGCGATGAGTTTTTGCGGTTTATTCGTTTAAATAATTATTTCTGCTGTATGAAAAAAAAACAAAGCATATTTTTTCTAGGTTTATTTCTATATAACATTATGTACATTATAAATTATTGCTTAGATATTATATACTTCACAATTTATTGATATGGCAATACTATCTAATCCAACTAACATTTAAAATTGACAAGTCTGAATTTAAATCGAAGAACGATAGGAACTGAAAAAGAGCAATTTTTTTTTAATCTATGGAGTTTAGTTAATTAAGTGACTGGTCTGAGACCATTTACAGATTAGGTACGTGTGTGATACATTTTAATGTTGTCGCTGGTTATAATGGTGGTAAACAAAGATTAAAAATAAATAAACTTATAATCTGTATTGTACGAAATTGAATCACCTTCCTGTACTTTACTTTTACTTAAATATTAATAAATATCAGTAATACAATAAATAGGAGTAGAAACATTCATAGTGTTAATATATTCAACAAAATATGAAACTAACTATTATGTGAGCCTGATACAATTATTACAGTACAATTTTATACAACGAACGCCTACGCTAACTGTGATTAAATTGATTACAGTTAGCAAATACATGTTGCTATAGGTATTATTTCAGGCGCTCTGCATGATATTTTCGACCACTGAAGTCTTATACGAGTATATACAGTATGTACAGGTATTGCAGACACAAGTACACTAGTAGGTACTACATCCCTTTTTTATTATCTGTTGCGAAGTCGTGTCGTGAATCACCATACTAAGTCCGCTTGTGACAATGCGTGATGTTCAACAATGTATGAGAAAAATCCTGCTTATTCCTGATAGCATTGGTATCGCCCGTCTAGGGACCACTACGACCCTACAAGACACTGATTAATCAGCACTACTGTAGTGAGTAGTATTTTCTAACTATAACATTTTGTTTTCTGGTCCCCTAGTATCGTATCATTTTCGTAGATTAACTGCCGCTTCAGCTTTGCATTCTGAAAAAAAATGAACGTTTAAATACATGTTGAGGATCATATATTTTGTTCGAGATCTTTAGTTGCATCCTGTGTTAATTTGGGGTGAAATAACAACTTAAAATTCTTGTAAGTATAATATTGTTTGTATTATAGATTACTCTTATTATAATTTTAAATATAGATAATTTAATTATAGATTACTATAATTAAATATTAAATAAAGTTAATAAATATGAGGCGATTTAAATAACTTGTACCGTACGAAAAACTTTCGATCTAGGGTTGACAATGAGTGAAAAATCTTGTGTCTTTAGTTTTGCACTGTAATGTTACTGTTTTCTTTTTCAATTATAAACTATAAAATGGCTGATCCAAGTTGATTAGTTTTATCACCATTAGAGATTGGAAATTACTATATTGTTACTTGTAACAGGGGCTATATTTTATACCAGTAATAGACAATCCGCGAGAACACACATCAACAGCCTTTAACAGTTAGCTGCAGGACATGGGCCTCTGCAGAAACGAGGGTTTGGCAAAAAAAAAATACCTTAAAGTTCTTTGATATAGACCCTAGCCTCAACGTGTGGCTCTTCAGGCTGTGGTGCGAAGTCCAAGTCGGAGTACCTCACTGAGAAGATCTTCTTGTAATTTAGCCGTTCGGCCGCCGCAGCTGAAAATGCTGATGTGGCGTCCATTCTCATAGCGCCTGCACCGTTTGATCTGGCTAGACGTCTGAAAAAAAGAAATATAGATAGAAATACAGATATTATTAAATCTTATTATAAATCTCGAGAGAGGTAACCATGACATAAGCGTAGTCTCTAGTAAAATAAACGTACATATATGTCAAATCAAGACAAGTTATAACATAGTGGTGTCTTTTTCGTTCTATTCAAAAGGAACTTAACATTAACAATGCACAGAAGCCTTATCCCAACTATTTAAAATAACTCGTTCGTGCTTACAAGAGATTGCAGAAATCTTATCTTCAAATTATTTATTTATTTAGGAATGTTATAGTTTTTTTTTTTACGTGTGGAAATCCCCTAGGACCGTCACCCCGCCGGGGCTCTCGTTTGGTGGGGCGGTGTGTCGGACTCGAACCGACTAAAACCACATGGTGTGCCCTCTTTGCGCTTCCAGTTTAGGAGGGGTCCAGGTAGTTATCGCCTTCTGGACCCCTCCCAGCGCCAGCCCGCTCCTGGTGCGGGCACCGTCTCCAGGACCTCTCTTTTTTTTAGGCGACGTCCGGCACACGCGGACGCCGCCCCCTCGCTGTTGGCCAACTAATGCGGGTGGAGGGGAGAACCCATCCCGTCCACCCGCGGCCACACTCAGGGCAGCATGAGGCGCAGATAAGCGCGCCTCCGCCGCCCGGTTCGCCGGCGGCGGATCAGGTCCGAGTGGAGGTCGTCCTCCGCCGCCTCCTTCTGCGAGATTACCTCCTCGCACCGCGTTGCGACCGCGGAATAACAACTGTCGCTACCGGCCATGGAGCGAATTACGGCCGGTAGCGAGAGATCTGCTCCGATGACTGTAGTGAGGGCCCGGCGCTGCGTGTGCTGGGCCGAATCCTCACTGCAGTCGCAGTGGTGGCAGGCGGGACTCGATTCCTAGCGACCGAGTACAGGTACTTTCCGAAGCAACCGTGCCCGGAAAGCAACCTGCGTCAGCCGGAAGGAAAGGGTCCCGTGCTGCCGCCCTGCCCACTCAGCGATGACCGGCTGGAGGGGGAATGTTATAGTAGCCCAACGTACAAAGTGGTACATGGTAATAATAGCCTTTATTTCAGACAGTATTCCATTTACAGTATCTATCTTAATTATTCTATGTCTAACATTTACTTATATATTATATATCTTACACTCTACGCTTGACTATTAAGCATCGACAACCCTGTCTGTGTGCCACTTTTTGGCAAAGGCCTCCTCCAACCTTTTCCATTTCTCTCTATTTTTAGCAGTTTTCGTCCATGTGCTTGGCTTCGGCTTTAATGGCGTCCACCTATCTTCTAAATGATCTGCCTTTTTTCTTTTCTTATGACTAGTGAACCAGTTCATTATCGATTTCGACCATTTCTCCTTTCCTCTAATTGTATGGCCTGATCATTTCCACTTTAACTTTTTTTCTTTTTTCAAATGAGTTTTGGCAAGTTTCTAACTTTTTAATGTGTGCTGTAGTGAGTGCCCAGGTTTGGCAACCATAAGCAAGTATAGGTAGTATGCTGGTATCAAAGAGTTCCCGTTTGGTGGTTATGTTGGTATCTTTATTTTTCATTATTTACTTGAAAATTATCTGACCCAAAGTTGTTTCCAGACATTTCCAATGCGTCTGTCAAACTCTTTTGAAGTTAGATCTAAAGGAGAGATTATCTGGCCTAAATAGATGCATTCCTTGACATATTCAATGGGGTTATTATTGATCAGAATAGGTTCTTCCTTGCCATTGGTAATAGCTTTATTATTAAATTATGCAATTAACGGTCGATTTCACAACTTCTTTGCAAACATTAGTAAAAGTGAACATTTGCAGTCAGTAAGGGTTAATCTTGTTTTTAAACACTTTTTTAAAAACTGAATGGACACGAAAACCTTTTTAATACGTGTCACACAAAAAGTTTTGGAACCATCACTTACAATAAAAAAAGCAATTACAGTATTCGAAAATGGAATCCTTCTTGTATATTTTAATTTAAAAATTAAAATATATAAGAAGACTGCGAAACAGTCATTTGTTTTTTTACATGTTCTAGTAGAATTTCATTATACATAACGTATTTAACTGCTGAAAATTAATGCACCATATTTTATTGGTTGTTATCAAATCACACCAATGACTTCTCTATTTTACCTTCAAAAATGAATAAAATGTTAAAGTTAACGTGAGTTTATAACGCTTTTGCCGCGAAGTTGAAACTGTGTGATATGCAACGAAAATGTCTGGATTTTTAAAACGGTAAGTTTTATACAATATTTATATTATTTTATATTTATACCTTTTTTGGCAATCTAATCTAGAATATCTTTTTAGAGTTGGTTTTCCTTATTTTTGAGATTATTATAATGAATAAGTGTCTAAACTTTTAACGCCCTTGTAACTTTTTATATAAATTCAATTTAAATATTGGAAATATATATTTCCAATATTTAAATTGAATTTAAGTTTCATTAAAATCATTATCTCAGAACATAGTTTACTTATTTGTTTAAAATTATAGCTAATTTATAAATGCATTGCAATTATTAGTAAATCTAGTGCAAAAATCGTTCTTTAAAATGTCGCCATCATTCGTCGTATAGCAACAAAAGATTCATCTGTTTGTACCAGTGGTTTATTATACATTTAATACGATCCGTGTAGTGACAGAATAAGAATACGGAGTATCACCACCTCTATTCACAATATGTGTTATACATTTGTAGGTGAGTGTACATGAATTTAGGCAGGTATATGATTTAGGAGACGTATAAATTCCCGGCCCCGGTCCGAGACACTATGTGGTGTAAATAGTGCGTATTGTTATATGTCTTAACCACCTCTTTTTCATTTAAATACACTACTGATATAAAAATATAATAGAAAAAGGTATGTTGTACGTCTTATGTTGTGCTAACTTACTTTATTTTTAGAGTTCAAGACCATTAGAGAAAACCGCTGCCTGTGATACTGACAACAAAGATGTCTGAACGTTGCGTAGTCATAAGAGCTTATCGTCAAAGACCATTTCAGGTAAGCATATCAGGACATCAATTAGATACTTTCCTCTGGAAAGGAGTCAGAGAGATTTATACGTAATTAATATTTTTATAGTATAAAAGTTACACTACAAAAGAAAACTTTTGAACATCATATTTCCAAGTCTCAAACCCGGTATCAAAAAGGAGGAGGGTTGGTTGAGGAAAGACCAAACCAACTGTAAAAGGTCAACGTCGAGTCTCAGGCGACGGTTAACTAACCGATACAGCAGGCTTAACAAGCCAGCATGCAACAGAGGTAGGAAATGATCTCTGCAACCCGCAACTTCGTCTATACTCGAAGCGAAAGCGGGGGCCTTGGCTTAACCGCCCGGGCTAAAAGGTAGAAAGCCTCCATAAAACTTCACCCCAATCCTATGGTGGGATACATGATACATGCCAATAGGATGATTTACTAATTAGAAATCAGCCTCAAGCGCCAACCTCAATAGACCTGGCTCACATTGTTGTATAGTGCCTTCGCATGTGCCGCAACGAACAAGTAAGAATGCAACCTAAATTCACAGAAATAGAAGAAAATACAGAATTTTCACCCTTTTAACCCAAAAATCTCCACCCTTTTACAGACCTACAAGAAATAAAAGATGAAATAGAAAACCATGAACATAAAGTCACCAATATTTGGAATGTTAAACAAAGAATTTTCAAAAAATCTCTACCAACATCTTTTCAACAATAATAAACTTCTTGACTTCGTTCATGAGAAGCGGAGTCAAGCAAGTAATATGCTCCAATGCTATCTGAACAAAATTACGTAATGGCTAGACACTTTGCGAATAAAAGCTAATGAAACCAAGTCTGTACAGGTGACTTTTACGTTGAGACGTGATACATGTCCACCTGTATCGCTCAATAGAGTTCAGATACCCCAAGCTAACGAAGCCAGATGCATGTTGGGATGGTTATGAAAACCATCCCAACATGCTAGCTATGCAATTAATGAGTAGAGATACGACGTTCAAAAGAGGTCCCCTAGAGATTCCCTTTTCAGGGCAAATAGTTACCGTTCAACCAAATATAGAACATCGACAAATGTAAACAAACAGAACGAAGTTAATTAATATACAGGTCATATGCCGCTGGATTAACTGCACTCCAGAACAATATCTAAACTCCATAACAATTTGCCGAATGATCTTGGCAGTACATAAGTTATCATCATCATCATCAACAGCCTTTAATAGTCCACTGCTGGACATAGGCCTCTCCTTAGAAAGGAGGTTTTGGCCTACTATACATAAGTAAATATTTAATTTCAGACAGTCACCCACAATTTCACGATTGCAAGTTTAATGCCTAACATGTTTAATGACTTTACATTACCGTCGTTATTACGATGTTATTGATGTTAAGGAAACACTCATCCTTTATTTTCCAATTATTTATAATGCGTACGATTATTTAGAACTATTATCACTGAGAACACGCCATGTCCGATGTCTACGTAACAATTAATTTTGACATGTCTAAACAGACAAAATGATAGTTTTTTTTCTTAAAACTACAAGGAAGCAATCATGGGTTTATTTCGTAACTAAGTACAAAATAGGTGAGTTGGAATGTCACAGTATATCAAAATGCTACCTTGTTTAACAATTATTGGCTTTGTAATATCATGTGGTTTTGAATGTTACTAACTTTAAAACTTTATTATTATGTAAAATGGTGTCCAAATAATAGTACATTTTTATATATAAATGAAATTAAGGACGGCGACTGCACGGACGGCGTAGTGATTTAAGCGCTCGCTGCTTCCTACTGCTGTGAGTGTTGTGGATTCGATCCACACATAGAGCACCACTTTTTATGATGCTTCATCTATGTTTTAGAAAATCCCTTGCGACTCAGACTCCTACTGCGGGCGTTGGGTTTTTAAGATAGAAACAAAAGGATGTGAAATTTCGGATACTAGAATGTATGAACACGAATATATGAAATTATGAATAATATTATACCGATTTCAGATTCGCTTACGTA